AAAAAAAAAAGGATAACATTGAGAGCTTGGGCCGCCTGTGTCTATGTAAACTTATCTAAGCATTAAATAAGTCTGGGTTTATACCTGTTACGCTTGAATAAATCGGTCGAAAGTACGTTCCTCCAAAGCTTCCAGCTTGAAGAACTTCTTTCGGTGTCATAGTCGGCTTGAAATCTGGAAAATCGGCGAATACCAACTTGCCATGTTTGTCACGTTTTGGCACCGAACTGTTTGTTGAAGATGTCGTTTCATCTTCGGAAGTCTCCTGTGACTTATTGTTGGTTGCAGTTTTTCGTCTTTTACCCGGCTTTTCTTTCACGTGCATAGCAGATAATGCTCGTTTTGGTGCCATAGAGAACTGAAACGGGGATCCAAGAGCAAAATGGAGCAGAAAAGATAGTTTGACTCTCGACTAACAACAAACCGAGCGAACCACACACATTACATAACTTGCTTTGTAGCCAAGCCGAAAAAGCTGCCTGGTGTAAGCTTGGGAACAAGCTACTAGCTTCCCACTAACCTTGAGAAGTAAACTGATTGAAATTGTTTAGTTTCACCTGCACGCCGACAGGAGATGAGTTCCTGACACCGACCATACCTAACTCTTATTTATTTATTCATTCATTTATTTGTTTCTGTTTTGTTTTGTTTTTGTTTTGTTTTTTGCAATCAGGAGCTCCTGTTACAATTCATGGCAATTTACAAACAAACAGAAAAAAAAAAAAGACATGAGAAAAAGTACACTCTTTTTTCCGCGCTTACGCAGTGAAATATAATCCTAATCCGTTCTTTATCGAAATTCTTTGGGACGACCGTGTTCACGGATTTGGCCTCCCCACAGCAAGGGCAAATTACATTATGAGAGCATGCACACAGTCATGTGTTCGATAGATTGTAGTCTTCGACAACAAGTAGTACCTGCAAGTATCAAAACCTGCGTCTTCAGGAATGAATATGTCAGTTTTGTAGCTCGGCGATGGCAAATGGCTATGATTTGGGTTCAGAAAATAAATTCACGGAGTTGTGTCGCTCATTTTTAACATGGTTTGGCCATGTATTTTCTGCGGGACAGTTTTTTTCTGTCCGCAGTCTCCGACCTTATCGCGACAACGACATGATAGAGATGATACTCTAGATTTTTGCCTATTGTCCGTTGTCACCCGTTTTGCATGTGACCTTTCTAAATTTCATAGCCGTCCTCTGCAAAACAACAACGCAAAATGACCGCTAACGCGAACGATGAGTCGAACTGCTAATTTTTCGTTTTTCCATTTAGAATTGCAAGCTGTCATTACATATTTAGCCTGAGTGAGGTTCTAGAGCCATATGACATCATCGACAAATTCAATATTACAAGGAGGTTGTCCTCGGCATCGCCGTCGTCATTGCTAAGATTCCTATATTTGCATCTCGGATGCTGGAAAGTCGATGCACTTGTTCTGAACGTGCATGGGTCTGTCATCCTAAGTGGCTGCTTTGTGCTTTGCTCATGTTTTATCCCAAGACCAGTCGAACGCAGATGAGAGTATCGTGTAAAAACCGTAAAAAAAAATCACATAAATTGGAGCTCTTTGCCAAGGTTCTTTTTAATTCAGCGATTAATTTGGCGAGCGTTTCGGTAGGAAGTTTTTCCCTCATGCTGAAACAATCTCGTTTACGTTCCTTCGCCGATGCAGTACTTTTTCATCTTCCCCGTTACTTCACGGCAATCATTTGCATCTTCTTCTTCAGTATGGCGTAAGGATTTGAACACTTAAAGGCCATCGTCATCAATAATGTCCTTGAACATGGCGGGTTGATACTCGGGGCTTTCCCGCTCCAAACCAAGTAATTATTACAGTATGTCTCTTTCCATAGCTTCCAATTCTCGGGGATCTCGCTACTTAATAAACCTCAAATCTAAACGTCGCGGAGGCAATGATAACTGGTGGAATAACATTGAAAATTGTGATGCTTTAGGCGGCGAGGCATCGGAAGTTGTTTTCGCTCGTAGGCATTCGTAGACGGTGGACATTGTCGACGAATTTGAACTACGCTTTCGCTGCAACGTGTAATATTAGATGGCAGAGAGAACCTTAAACGAACGTCATCAATCAAGGCTTAATCTGGATACTCTAACTCAAGATACATCAGGTGAACGCGTATTTTAATATATAACTGTATGTATAGCATAAATTACGAAGCCGTTACAGAACATAAGCGTGTATATAAAGAATGTTTGGCAAATTAGCATATTATAACCTTAAATTAAGGTATGTCCGCCATTTTGAATAAT